TTATTTGACTATCTGGTACTGTATAGGGATTATTTGACTATCTGGTACTGTATAGGGATTATTTGACTATCTGGTACTATATAGGGATTATTTGACTATCTGGTACTATATAGGGATTATTTGACTATCTGATACTGTATAGGGATTATTTGACTATCTAGTACTGTGTAGGGATTATTTGACTATCTGGTACTGTATAGGGATTATTTGACTATCTTGTACCGTATATGGATTATTTGACTATCTGTTACTGTATAGGGATTATTTGACTATCTGGTACTATATAGGGATTATTTGACTATCTGGTACTATATATGGATTATTTGACTATCTGGTACTGTATAGGGATTATTTGACTATCTGATACTGTATAGGTAGTATTTGGCTATCTGGTACTGTATAGGGATTATTTAACTATCTGGTACTGTATAGGGATTATTTGACTATCTGGTACTGTATAGGGATTATTTGACTATCTGGTACTGTATAGGGATTATTTGACTATCTGGTACTGTATAGGGATTATTTAATTATCTGGTACTATATAGGGATTATTTGACTATCTGATACTATATAGGTAGTATTTGACTATCAGGTATTGTATAGGGATTATTTAACTATCTGATACTATATAGGGATTATTTGACTATCTGGTACTGTATAGGGATTATTTGACTATCTGGTACTGTATAGGGATTATTTGATTATCTGGTACGCTATAGGGATTATTTAACTATCTGGTACTATATAGGGATTATTTGGCTAGCTGGTACTGTATAGGGATTATTTGACTATATGGTACTATATAGGGATTATTTGACTATCTGGTATTATATAGGGATTATTTAACTATCTTGTACTATATAGGTAGTATTTGACTATCTAGTACTGTATAGGGATTATTTGACTATCTGGTACTGTATAGGGATTATTTGATTATCTGGTACTATATAGGGATTATTTGACTATCTGGTACTGTATAGGGATTATTTGACTATCTAGTACTGTATAGGGATTATTTGACTATCTGGTACTGTATAGGGATTATTTGACTATCTGGTACTATTTAGGGAATTTTTTGACAATGTGATACTGTATAGGGATTATTTGACTATCTGATACTATATATGGATTATTTGACTATCTGGTACTACATAGGGATTATTTGTCTATCAGGTACTGTAAAGGGATTATTTGAATATCTAGTACTAGATAGGGATTATTTGACTATCTGGTACTATAAAGAGATTATTTGGCTATCTGATACTTTATAGAGATTATTTGACTATCTGGTATGGTATAGGGATTATTTGACTATCTGATACTGTATAGGGACTATTTGACTATCTGGTACTGTATAGGGATTATTTGACTATCTAGTACTGTATAGGGACTATTTGACTATCTGGTACTGTATAGGGATTATTTGACTATCTGGTACTGTATATGGATTATTTGACTATTTGGTACTGTATATGGATTATTTGACTATCTGGTACCGTATATGGATTATTTGACTATCTTTTACTGTATAGGGATAATTTGATTGTTTCAATGTGTGTTGGCGTGGCTTCCTAATGACATGCCTGTATCAACTACCGTGGAATAGATACAATATAACGCTATCAACACATTCGGATTGTTCTCATCAAAGTATCAAGTAGCATTGATGATTTCAACATCATGTTGCTTTGCTTTAAGTCTAAGTTGTTATGACACCTTGGTGTTTAGGAACTGTTGTCGAAAGTAGATTCCAGGCAGCAAGCAAGGTAACTATTACTGTTTCCACTCCATTACTGAAATCTGAGAGGAGTACTTTGTATGAAATGTTTTATGTAATGACGGAATCAACCTCTGTCGCCGATTTCTCTACACCATTAGGTGTTAAATGTTAAAATAGATATTCAAGCTAAATGAACATTTCCAAGCTGTTCCCCATACGTCTTTTACTTGCCTTGCTGAAGTCCGAATATATTCCCATGGTAACATATGTTGGAGAAAAATAATCATAATCCACTTTCGGAGTAAAAAAACAAATGGGAGTAGTAATGATACATGAACTCAGTGTTACAGTAGTAATGATACATGAACTCAGTGTTACAGATTATTAAATTCTTGCCCGAAGCTTCTATAAGTCCCACAGGAGATGACATATAAGTTGTGGTCGGATTGGGCAGTGGATAACGCACTTGCCTTTCACATGGCGTCCGGGGTTCGATTCCCTGATCGGAAGTGAAAAGGTTCTGGGTGATCACCTGCCCAATCGCGTAGGTTTTCTCCCGGTACTCCGGTTTTCTTCCACACTAACATCCGGGCTAACATGCGCTAACATCCGGGCTAACAAGAGTGATTGATATAAGTTGAAATATCTTTTTTCATAATTGTTGTAAAACAAATAAAGTGTAAATAAATATTTAAATATGTATCATCCTTGTCTGAAATATATGTGTTGGCAGAATATGGGCCATTTCTTCCTTGAAGTCCGTATTTTTTGTTGGCAACATTTTCTCTCATTGACTGTATATTATAAATTTATTTGTCACTCGTGCTTCGCTGTTGTGTAAAAAGTGTTAAACTATTCACCCCATTTTGAAATATTATCCCGAATTCGAAAGCATTATCATAGACAGCGGACCTTATCCAAGGATTTGGAATCATTTTGACGGCGTATAGGTAGTACATTATGTATGCGCGTTAGTGCTCGATAAAGAATATGTTCGTTGCCAACTGCGTTCATACTATACCGTAAACATGTGTACCGTCAAAATGAATGTCAATCCTTAACGCATGCAGACTTTGCTAAGCTGGTGAAGGGAGTGATGTACTATACTAATATACGTAAATGAAATGACGTGGCTATCCAATAACGATCATTCAAATCATCATGTAATGTAATAAGTCCTATAACGGACCAGCGACAAACTATATGAGTAATATCAATGTTGATTTCATTTAGCAAAATCCAATCCTTGCTAATCCAGTGCAAGTTGTTTGTTATTGCGAAATCAAGTATTAAGAGACTGCAAGTAATAAATCCAAAAAAATGTTTTTCTTAACTCATGGATGTACGTTGCATTCAGATTTATACTAATGAAATTTAGCAATTCCCGGAATAAGGGAAAACACTTACACCTGTGTTGGAATGTAGACGAACAGGCACATCTGTGTGACTGAACACGTTTGTATTGCCAATATTATATCAAACATTCACTACAAAGGACCTAAAAGTGTGCATCCGTGCAGAAGCGAACACGGAACCTGATTAATTGAATCCTCTGGAGTATGGTGTAAACATCAGTCTTAATATAGTTGGCCAAAATGGGGATCCGTCAAGTTACAAGTACAATGTATCATAAGCTTAACGTTATTATTTATTTTTATTTTTATCAATCCTTTTTTCACATTTTGAAAAAACAATTAAATTTGTGTTGTTGTAAACAAATGAATATTTTTGTTATCAAATGCGATGTTCGTAACACTATTACACGAAGATAGTCGATGAATTCAAGCTGTTTGCAAAAAACTACTAAAAAAGTATTGCATTCTTGTCATAAGCTTGTACTTTTGCAGTATTATTTTCTAATCTTAAATTACTTATATCCAATTTCAATTGACTCGTTATTTTTTTAAATCTTTTTTACACACTCAACTGAAATCTTGTATGTTAAATAGCTTTTAAGAGGAACAAAAATGAAAAAATAGCATAACCTCGTTAATATTTTGCGTTGTCAATACTTCGCGTCGTTAATACTTTTTGCGTTGTTAATACTTTGAGTCGTTAATACTTTTTGCGTTGTTAATACTTTGAGTCGTTAATACTTTTTGCGTTGTTAATACTTCAGCGTTGTAAAGCTGATGATGTCCCATCTAACGAAATATTAACAAAAATGAGCTATTTTGCCGTCTGATTTGTTTTAATAAACTTTATACCTGTAATGGAAATGCTTTTTAATTCAATGCGAAATGAAAACTATTTCCTATAGTACAAAGAGAACACCTTTCAATTAAATGATATCGATCATCGACAAGAACCTCGAGCGACTCATGTTCAAGAGAGTTATCCGTTTCTCTGGGGCTATTGATTTTTCCAACAGCTTCGCCTGGTTAGCTCTGTTAAATTAGACCGGTGTGTATTTTGTATCCAATGTTCGCACGTGGAACAAACACTGTGTGGTTGTCAATGATGGAACTCTGGGATAACTTTGTTCCAATCTTTCACCAGCTTGATTCTCAATCTTAATTAAATTGTTAATCTATCGAAGCTCGCCAGCGTTCGTGTAGATATCCTTGGCGCTTTCAGCGGCACCAAATAGTGGATGATACCAGAAAGGAATTATCGCCCTAAGCTATACTTCGTATAGTGCAGGACGCTGTTTCAACCACTGACATACTTTGTAGACAACATCCCAAATAAGATCATTGGAGTCGTTATCGATCGACTAAGATCTCAGATAAACTTTTATTGAGCTATAGATGTTTGTCTGATATACTTAATAAATAAAGGATAAAGAGAAAACAAACTGTCAAAGAATAAATTGAATTATTGGTATTTAACAGGTTACAGATCTGTAGATGAAAAAAATAGTAATTAGGCCGCGCAATGCATGTTAAATATTTTTCAAATACAAAGATTATAACTTTATATACCAGATTTGAAAAAAAAAAAAAAATATTCCTCGTATTGTATGGCGTTAAGATTCCGGAAAAATCTTTCGCTTTAACAATTTGGAGTAACGGGGTTTTTTGGCAAATTAATGGGACACAAAATTGATTTTTTTTCCGAAATAATTGAAAACATAGACGTTGAGAAGTGAGCTTTCCGAATTATCCGCGTCCCGACATTTCTAGGCTTCTTTGTAACCTAGACTGAAAAGAAGTGCCAATTTTACGTTCAATACAATAAACACATTAAATTATTTCTAGAGTACAGAGCTCGATAGTACTTATTAGTAAGACGTGTTCGGGCTAGCCCGTTTAAAAGCCAATTGCAAGCAAACACAACGGTACCGATTCACGTTGTCTCGTGAGATCGTGGAACCTGTACCTGCCGATACAGTACACAGATATGTGCTTACGCAGTGCTCGGTTCTATCCCTAAGGGCGCTGTGGAAGGGGGCGGTTAGGTTAACGTAACCGCGTGTGATTTATTTATGTGGCAAGTACCTAGTACTATTTTTCATACACGACATCGCGATTGAAAGAGCTTCTTCGATTCATTATGTGAATGGCATGTACCGGTGTTTCAAACGATGGTTTGTAAGAGATGCTTTGTTGTAGTATTTACGAGGCCTAGAGTTACTGTGGAATTATCACACAGGCGGTGAGACAATGGTTCTGTCTTTGAGTGTTCCTAAGTGTGTTTCTCCGATTGGCAGTATTTCTCAGTAAATTCACTCTCTCGCTTCACATGGAACTTTACACGTGGTTGTCTTTTCGTCGGATTCTAATGTGACGTGGCTATGGACTATTAGTCATTCGGGGCTGGAAAGGTACAGTTATGATATACTTGTTTTAGGCTTATATTTAGGTTTATAAAGCAAAAGTATTGTTAGTTTCATTTCAGACCGGCTTTACGGTTTTTAATGAATTGGTTCCATATTGAAATACCAATATCTGAGGTTAGGAAGCCACGGATGCTACACCCCGTAACTTTAAATTTCTTTTCAAGTGATATTCTCATTCTTTNAAATTTGATAACCTAAACTTGTCCACACTGTTGGAATTACTTCTTTGCCCCATGTAATATTTTAAGTAATTCGTATCCTACGGACATACCTCCATTAGGATCCAGTGTTATATGGGATTTTACCGTCTTTATTACTTCTTTGACCCTTATAAATATATATATACATAAAAGGATTATAGATCTTATATTTTCTATATATATATATGTACCATCTCGTGGCTTGTCACTATATAACGCTACCAAATTCATGCGCGCTTCATTTAATTTGCCTTTGTCCAGTTGGAATTCATATTGCCTATGAATGTCAACTGAAACTAGTTCAATGCTTAAGTATATCTCTATTAACCAGACTCAGACTTGAATCAGCTGTTTTACAACAGTATTCTCCTATTATTTCAACCTTTCTAATTACATGCCAGGTAGTACACGTTGCATTAGCAGTTTATATTGATTCGGGTTTCCTTTTCTTGAGTTATAAAGAATATTGTAAATCATTAGCATGTCCAAGAAATCAATATGCTGGCCTTAATGTAACCGACTTACCAGGGTGCTGTGTACTTACGTTTCCCTGACCTTTTGGCCACCCTCTTGAGCAATCGTAAGACCATGCCCATCGATCAGGCAATTGCGTAGTGGTCAAGAGTAGATGTGTGCCTCTACTTATACGAATTTATCTCTGAGCTGATCAGTTTATACAGAAAATAAATAATTAAGAAGGATTTGTAAACCAAACCATGAATTACCCTCATCGCTATTACCAAAACATCCCAAAGCACAGATCAAAATACTCAAAGTATGATAACACGTACATGGACTGGGTTATCTACTTGTCCTCAGAAACAAGCGTCTGGTTCAAAGACCATGTAGAGCGGAACCTCGTTAATCAAACAACCATTATCCAGACAGTGTTTTTGTGGAAGATTTGTGTTTTCCATTGATAATTGTCTGGGTAATCCAGACGTTTTACAATCTAGACACGTTAACAGGAAAGGAAGATGGTTGGATTAACGAGGCGTCATTTCACTTACTGCAGGTTCGGAAGAAATAATTGGCCTGATGTATCCCGCTGTGTGATTGACCGAGACGATCTATCGATGGACCTATTATAAGTGAAGCAACTATTGTGGCCCTTTCATCAATTTGTCGACTAACGTTGCCCAATCATAAATAAGGTATCTATTGTGGCCAAATCGTAAGTTAGACGATTAATCTTAGCTTGACGCATAATAAATGGAGCGACTGTTGCCCAATCACAAGTGATGCGACCAATATGTTAGCATTTCATATGTGATACAGCTTATGCAATGGTGCTCCCAAGGTAATAAGGCGACCAATGTGTCCAACCATAAATAAGGCGCCCAGTCGCCTGTTGGACGATTAATTTTGTAACATCTTAAGTGAGGCGAATAAAACATGGTTGCCCTATAATAGTGAGGCGACCAATGTTGCCAGTCATTAGTTTGGACGATTTATGTTGCTGCCTCGTAAATGAAGCGATTTTGACCCATCATTATTTGGGATATTGATGTGGCTCTATCATAGGTGAGATAATAAATGATCACGAGGCGACTTAAGTATCCCTATCATGAGTGAGGCAATTGATATATCCCTGTCATTAGTGAGTCGAGAAATGTGGTCCAGCCATCAGTGGGCACCGTTATTATAAGGTAGCGCAGTAACTCAAAACAAATACACTGTGTAAACGTTTAATACCTTTTAATGCAGTTCGGGTTTTGTTTAGTCACTAATATCATAATCCCAGAGGACGGTAACTATCAGAACCTACACATATCCAGCCTCGCTTACGGTGCAATTTCTTAATTCTTTCCTCTCTCCCATTAGACGTGAAGAAGGACCAGGCTGTCGTACTGTGAGGATGATTATATCTAACCTTCACGATGTCAAATCCATTCCTTAAAATAAAAATAAAATGATATTATTTATTTCATTATTATCATGGGTATTCATAAATATGCCAGTGTAAAGCCTGTTTTGTGAGTGTGTAAGTGTTGGAGACGTATCATGCTGGGCCAGGGTCACACGAGTATCTGTATTGATCTAACAGCATACATTTAGTTACTACACCCTGTCTGTATTACAGCTGTGTAAATATCGTAGTGTTACAATGGTGTGTATAATCGATGTACTACGCCAAACGTCTAACTACCTAGCATTGTCATAACACAATAACGCGCGTGCGTCCTTTATCTTTAAAAAGAAACGCAAGTGTATCTATATTTTTTAAAGAATGAATATACGAGTGCATAGATATCATTGAATGCCATTGAATAGCTGAGGCACGATGGCATGAATGAGCGAATCAATAAGAGAATGAAGGAACGACGAAAAATTATGGATATGAGTGAATGAATGAAGACGAACGAACGATCGAATGAACAAAGACTGAATGATAGAAAAAAAAGGAATAAATCAACGAATGGAATAATGAATTGGTGAATTCGTAAATAAATAAGTGCGTGAATGAACAGATAACAGATTGAATGAATGAATGAACAAATGAATGAATCAAAGAATCAATCAATCAATCAATCAATCAGTTTATCAATGAATCAATGACTCAATCGATCAATCAATATGTCTGATGATTCATTTAAAAATGTTCCTTCTACTGGTTAATTGAAATGAATAAGATAATACGAGTTATCATTATAGTACATTTTTAATGACTAGTCACAAAAGAAAAGGGAAATCAATTAAAAATACTACCAGCAGCAGCTGTATGTGGCGAGGAATATTTATTATCAGATTAACTAACTACCCATGAAATTAATTTGCTATGAATATTCATATAACGAAGGGATATTTTTTACCTTGCGTATTTCTTATACATGTATGATCTGTATCATTAAATATAACTGTCATCGCTGACTGCTACATAGCATGGTTGTGTGTGCAACATTAACGGTGTACAGCTCTGTTACAGGATACGTCGTAGAATTAAACAACAT